ATCAGAATAGCATGGGCCTGTGAACAAGATCGCGAAGGTTACAGCCTGGCCTTCTGTGTTCCTGTGAGTCTTATTCTGGCGTGTTATATGCATATAGGATAGACAGACAGACAGACAGACAGACAGACATACAGACAGACAGACAGACAGACAGACAGACAGACAGACAGATAGATAGATAGATAGATAGATAGATAGATAGATAGATAGATAGATAGATAGATAGATAGATAGATAGATAGATAGATAGATAGATAGATAGATAGATAGATAGATAGACAGACGGACAGGTAGGTAGGTAGATAGATAGATAGATAGATAGATAGATAGATAGATAGATAGATAGATAGATAGATAGATAGATAGATAGATAGATAGATAGACAGACAGACGGACAGGTAGGTAGGTAGATAGATAGATAGATAGATAGATAGATAGATAGATAGATAGATAGATAGATAGATAGATAGATAGATAGATAGATAGATAGATAGATAGATAGATAGATGGATGGGTGTAGTCCTAACGACGCGAATAATATTGTGGCCAGCTTTATGTATTTATCGTTGATGTTGTAAATTTCTCCCCCTAAAAAAGTATCTATTATCTATTGTCTACTTTTGGCACCGTTCCTTATTTCCATGCGATATTATACAGAGGCATAAAATTACAAATCAAATGCAATTCTAGGCGATGGCGTGTGTGAATACAGAAAGATCTAACTGTGTTAAGAAAAAACATTCCACAAAAAAAATTTTTTTTCTCTCAAACATTCAGTTCGTCACCTATCTAAAATCAATTGTTCCCTTCGTCTATATTTATAATCCACAGAAGAACAATTAATGGTTGGGAAATCCCGGAGTCTCTTGAAATGCATGAGCAATAAATTCACAAATATTGATCGGCACGCATGTCTTTTTCTTATTTCTTTGCGTTCACTGGCGGTAAACTCCGGCGGAAAGTTCTGGTTGTCCATCCACCTCTAGACTTTAGACTTGTTACAGAAACAGAGTGTTGCGTGCACATCCGTTTTATACGTCTGACATGTTTGTATGCAGACTTTTGGTCCCTTGCCTCTCAGGCAAATGCACTCCAACTTCGAAGGAAACCCCCATTTAGTCGACTCTTACGACATGCTTGTTGGGGAGGCAGTGGGTTTTTTCCTTTTTTCTCCACAATGTGGCCCCGGAATCCACACGGAAGGCACGCATTTTAACTAATCAGTATTTCTTTCATATTCTTCTCAAAATACCCAAATGACTGTTCACTATTAGCAGACAGGAAGCACACACTGTCATATATTTACCGAAACAGACACAGTGAGTAAGTAAATTTTACCACTGCAGGTCATCACACGGGAGTCACCGTGGCATAGCGGCCAGACGCTCGCCACGAATCAGAAGGTCGTGGTTTCGCCTCCTGGGGGAGCCGGACTTTTTTTTTTGTAAATGACCTTGGCTCCCAGGTCGACCCAGCCTTGAGTCGGTACCGGGTGCAGTACCGGGAAGTAAAGGCGGCCGGCGTGATGCTGACCACATCACCCATCTTGTGCAAATTGGTCTATAAATATAGATCTAGCCCTATGTGCCCCATACGCCTAAAGGCGTGGAAAAGGTTTCTTTATTTCACACAGAGCGATAAACACCCGGTGACACAAAGTGCCACCATGGGGAGGTCCCGGAAACCGCGTTCAGCCGTTAGACCCTGCAAAATGCTGAGGTGGGGCTTCGAAATGACCATAAACTGCATCCCACATGGGAACGACTTCAGTAATTTAGTGAAGAATCACAGACACAGGCATACAAGAGACGCATAAATACTGATTTGCACAGTACTTACAGAAAGATAAACATATATGTGTGTGTGTGTGTCTGTATATGTGTAAATATATATATATATATATATATATATATATATATATATATATATATATATATATATATATATATATATATATATATATACGTGTGAGTGTGCGTGTATATATATTTATAATTGCCTTCAATGAGAGTTGTTTTATGTTACAGTTCATAAAATGCTGAAGTCATTGTCGTCTCATTATTTGTATTCCACACATAAATGTTCTAAGTTGACGCCCCTTTTATGATTATTCTCCAGAGATGCCTGGTCCCATGTGATGTGTGTCCCATGTGATGTGTGTCCCATGTGATGTGGTTCTCATGTGATGTGTGTCCCATGTGATGTGGTTCTCATGTGATGTGTGTTAATGTGTGAGAGAAAACCATGTGTCGTAGCGTCAGTAGGAGAATTTGCCAGATAAATGAACAAGTTCACAAGGCCTGGCATAGATATATATTACTCAATGGAGAATTATTATTTCTTTCATGTTAGAATGTACATATTGTACGTACGTACGTACGTACATATGTATGTATGTATGTATGTATGTATGTATGTATGTATGTATGTATGTATGTATGTATGTATGTATGTATGTATGTATGTATGTATGTATGTATGTATGTATGTACGTACGTACGTACGTACGTACGTACATACATACATACATAATACATACGTACGTACGTCTGTCTGTCTGTCTGTCTGTCTGTCTGTCTGTCTGTCTGTCTGTCTGTCTGTCTGTCTGTCTGTCTGTGTGTGTGTGCGTGCGTGCGTGCGTGCGTGCGTGTGTGTGTGTGTATGTATGTACGTGCATACGTACGTACGTATATATGTATGTATGTATATATGTATGTATGTATGTATGTATGTATGCATGCATGTATGTGTGTATACATGCGTACATGCGTGCACGTATTATGCATGTATATATACATGCATGCGTGTATGTGTTGTGTACGTATAGGTGTTCGTTTGTATGTACGTATGCTTGCTTGCTTTTCTACCATTTTGTCCATTGTATATCAACACACTCTAGCAGATACAAGAATTTAGGCATACCAATATTTACATAATAGACAAGGACGACAGGGCAGACCAAGAAGACGACGACGAAAAGTTCCCGTAGAGGCAAACCTGCACATACTCGGTGTCACCAACTGGAAGAAGACGACTTATCATAAAGATCAACGAAGGTGGGTGATATCTGCAGCAGTAAACCCAAATGCTCGGAATACTGACGAAGAAGAAGAACAAAACCGTTAGTATAATATTTTAATAGACACGCATATGCACACCAAGTAGGCTAAATGCTGCTAATACGTTACTATTATTATTATTACTACTAATATTAAAGCTATCATGATTGCAATCATTATAATTGAATAACATATACATGCATTCACACATATTCACATAGGTTATGTGCGTTGTTGTCATTATTCTCTCTCTCTCTCTCTCTCTCTCTCTCTCTCTCTCTCTCTCACACACACACACACACACACACACACACACACGCGCGCGCATTTACGTTGTTGCAAACAAACATAGTAAAAATTGGGGTGGGGTGGAGGAGGGGCTCAGGGTGCATAAGCCTTGTTTAAGCTCATGTTAAGAATAATACAACTCTGCTGAATTGCAAATAATTGTATTTGAAAAACTAGATGTGTGACCCATCATCATCATATAGCAGGTCCTCTGCAGAACTTCGCTCTCATCACTGCCTGCCTAAAACAATCGGTCTCTCGCCAGCTCCCCCGCATAGTATACTTTCATATTCAAGGAGTCACTTATATCTTGTGCCCATCTTCGTGTTAGTCGGCCCCTGCCCCTCTTTTCTGGTACCACGCCATCTGCAATTTTTTTTCTTATCCGACACGCGCTTGATCTGACCAAAATATTTCAGTGAAAATATTTATGTGTGAGAATACAAACATAGCCCCTTACAATTATCTTTCCGTGGGTAGTTCCCACTCCTACCCCCCCCCCCCCCCTTTCCCCTCCCTGCATATGCGCTCGGGTTCCGGCGACTCTACACTTTAACATCGCTTTCAGCGCCGTCTTAAACTCATGAACCCGCTGGGGACTTGCCCGGCATAGGGGCCCTATGATAATCTATGAAATATAAAACTTAAATTATGCCCCCACCCCCCTCCCCTCAACCACCACCACCAGCATAGAGGCCCTATGATAATCTATGAAATATAAAACCGAGATAATGCCCCCCCCCCCTTCCCCAAAAACCACCACCAGCATAGCGGCCCTATGATAATCTATGGAAAAAACTGAAATTATTGCCCCCCCCCCCCCCCCCCCTCGTCGCAACCACCTCCACCAGTTGTTTTGAAACGCCAATAAAATGAATATGTGTTTAATGTTACCGACTATTTACATTTCATTTACGTGAGTAATTGCCGTAAGGGCCGCAGCACATTGGTTTCCCAGGGGCTTATGATGCCGTTAAGACCACTCTGCTGGCCTCACTAGATCTGCAGACTTGGAAATCACCAGGCTGTTAACATAGATCAGTTTCGCCATCACTACGATACAATTGGCCATTTGTACAGTACACCAGGTTTACTAACACTAGATGAGATTTGGTCAGGGATACGTTAGGATCACCATTTCTACATCTCTAGGTAATATTTACACAAACAATCACACACACATGCATCTATGTATGTATGTCTGTGTGTGTGTATGTATATATATATATATATATATATATATATATATATATATATATATATATATATATATATATATATATATACAGACGCAAAAAAATGACAACTATCACTAGATAGGAGACCCAATCCAATGCTTTGCTAAAAAAAACTAAATCATCGCTATGTTCAACCAATTTTCCTAAAGGGGGTGCTTTAGGTTATAAGTGTGCCTAGGTTATGTGCGCCACATCAAATGGCTATTAGCCTTGCACGCCACCAAGAGCCCTGACAAGGACTCCTGCAGTGTTGATGTGATCCAAGGAGACTGGCCCATATTCTGTCCCGACTAGCGACTAAGTCGTCTACCGGCGAGTCAGTGTGCGACCCGGTCGCCGACATGTAGATTAGATATATACATGCATAGACTTAAATACACAAAGTCATATTCAATAATAGTAATATCCCAAACGATTAGAGCACAGCCATTTTAAAGTTCTGTTGCTTCTCTGGTACGGTCAAGCACCTGGTCAGACAGTAACGTCGACATGGCATCAACAACATGATCAGACCCCCCAGGATACACAGAGCTCCTGCTAGCTGTATGCCCATTTCAAATCCTCCGGTGACTTCTTTCAACAAACCTGTTGAAGACAAAATGTTTATATGGGTTAAGAGATGGTAAATATTCTTACTAACGCTATTCCATCAAAGTCAAAAATAGATACTGTTTTCAGAAGAAGAAATAGAATAGTCACGACAGAAATTGAATGTTTACGTACCACGTTAGATGTAACCAAGAAAGATCGACTTAAAAACGATGATAGCAGGAGGAGAGTCGGCACAGAAATAATACTGAACTCTAGAAAACAAATCAAATGTTTTGGCCATGTAACAAGATTGGCATCAGACAGGGCACCACAGAGAGCTGTGTTATACAAATACGTCGGTAACAGAGCCAGACGTCGACAACGCTGAAGATCAGCCGCGCCGAAGATCAGCCGCGAAAGTATCGTAAACACCGAAAAGTACTTTATACGAAGCGATTAGAAGGACCTGTTCCAGAAATCTCTTCCTGCCCTGACGCCGCGAGAGACATTCCAGGAGTAGAGGAACAAAAGAGGAAGAGAAGAGATGTTAACTTGTAAAACAAACAGTCAAAATGAAAATATGTGTGAGCGCGTGTGTGTGTGTGCGTGCTAGCGCGCGCGTGTGTTTGTGTGTAAATATAATCACATCCACCACGTTTACACACTTTATAATTGCAGCCAAAACCAAAGCTGTCATATAGGCGTATTGGTTCACTACCCAGGGATGTCACACAGTCAGAAACCCGCTTAAGTCGGAAATTAGGCTTTTTCAACTCAGTACCAAACAGTTTTTAACTTAAAAACTTTCTTACTCAGAATTTATGTACTTCAGAACAACAGTCGCTGTGGACAAGTGTGAGCAAATATGAAACTGGATCTGCTGAATTAGCCTCGGTCCTAGAAAGGATGAACGAAACAGATGACTAGTACATAATAAGTTAGTCAATGTATTTTAGGCGTAGAGTAATCAATCAACGTACTGTAAGTTGTCTCATAGTGGAGAGTTAATATCTGCTTTTTTTTTTTTTTTATAATGTGACAAATGTGACGAATACCTTGGATGGCCAGAGTAGCCAACAACGATTGCTTGAAAGAAGATAATGAAAGTATATCTCTATACAACAATAAGAAAGAGACAAACATTCAATGAGAAGAGAGACATTGGAGAACATCGTGACAACTGGAAAGATCAGTGGGAAAAGGGGTGGAGGCAGACCAAGAGAGATGATGCTGGATGGGCTGAAATGATGGCATGGAAGGATATCATCAAGAGAGCTGTTCCAGGCAACCAGGGGTTGTGATCTGTGGAGACGCATGAGCGCCTACGCCAGTTGGCAGGGCACATGATGATGATGATGACAAATGTGAGGCTATGTCTAGGGATTGTAAGGACATTTGGCAGCTATAGTAGAATTGCTGAGGTGCAACTAGGACCAGGGCTCACACTGGCTGAGATCTATCTACACCTCATCTTCACGGTCATCATCTATCTACACCTCATCCTCTCGGTCATCATCTATCTACACCTCATCTTCACGGTCATCATCTATCTACACCTTATCTTCATGGTCATCATCTACCTACACCTCATCTTCACGGTCATCATCTATCTACACCTCATCTTCACGGTCATCATCTATCTACACCTTATCCTCACGGTCATCATCTATCTACACCTCATCCTCACGGTCATCATCTATCTAAACCTCATCTTCACGGTCATCATCTATCTACACCTCATCCTCACGGTCATCATCTACACCTCATCCTCACGGTCATCATCTATCTACACCTTTTCTTCACGGTCATCATCTATCTACACCTCATCCTCATGGTCATCATCTACTTACACCTCATCTTCGCGGTCATCATCTATCTACACCTCATCCTCACGGTCATCATCTATCTACACCTCATCCTCTCGGTCATCATCTATCTACACCTCATCTTCACGGTCATCATCTATCTAAACCTTATCTTCACGGTCATCATCTATCTACACCTTATCTTCACGGTCATCATCTATCTACACCTCATCTTCACGGTCATCATCTATCTACACCTCATCCTCACGGTCATCATCTATCTCCACCTCATCATCACGGCCATCATCTATCTACACCTCATCTTTACGGTCATCATCTATCTACACCTCATTTTTACGGTCATCATCTATCTACACCTCATCTTCACGGTCATCATCTATCTACACCTCATCTTTACGGTCATCATCTATCTACACCTCATCTTCACGGTCATTATCTATCTACACCTCATCCTCACGGTCATCATCTATCTACACCTCATCCTCACGGTCATCATCTATCTACACCTCATCTTCACGGTCATCATCTATCTACACCTCATCCTCACGGTCATCATCTATCTACACCTCATCCTCACGGTCATCATCTATCTACACCTCATCTTCAAACTCATCATCTATCTACACCTCAACCTCACGGTCATCATCTATCTACACCTCATCCTCACGGTCATCATCTATCTACACCTCATCTTCACGGTCATCATCTATCTACACCTCATCCTCACGGTCATCATCTATCTACACCTCATCCTCACGGTCATCATCTACACCTCATCCTCACGGTCATCATCTACACCTCATCCTCACGGTCATCATCTATCTACACCTCATCTTTACGGTCATCATCTATCTACACCTCATCTTCACGGTCATCATCTATCTACACCTTTTCTTCACGGTCATCATCTATCTACACCTCATCCTCACGGTCATCATCTATCTACACCTCATCCTCACGGTCATCATCTATCTACACCTCATCTTCACGGTCATCATCTATCTACACCTCATCTTCACGGTCATCATCTATCTACACCTCATCCTCACGGTCATCATCTATCTACACCTCATCCTCACTGTCATCATCTATCTACACCTCATCTTCACGGTCATCATCTATCTACACCTCATCCTCACGGTCATCATCTATCTACACCTCATCCTCTCGGTCATCATCTATCTACACCTCATCTTCACGGTCATCATCTATCTAAACCTTATCTTCACGGTCATCATCTATCTACACCTTATCTTCACGGTCATCATCTATCTACACCTAATCTTCACGGTCATCATCTATCTACACCTCATCCTCACGGTCATCATCTATCTCCACCTCATCATCACGGTCATCATCTATCTACACCTCATCTTTACGGTCATCATCTATCTACACCTCATTTTTACGGTCATCATCTATCTACACCTCATCTTCACGGTCATCATCTATCTACACCTCATCTTTACGGTCATCATCTATCTACACCTCATCTTCACGGTCATCATCTATCTACACCTCATCCTCACGGTCATCATCTATCTACACCTCATCCTCACGGTCATCATCTATCTACACCTCATCCTCACGGTCATCATCTATCTACACCTCATCCTCACGGTCATCATCTATCTACACCTCATCTTCACGGTCATCATCTATCTACACCTCATCCTCACGGTCATCATCTATCTACACCTCATCTTCACGGTAATCATCTATCTACACCTCATCTTCACGGTCATCATCTATCTACACCTCATTATCACGGTCATCATCTATCTACACCTCATCCTCACGGTCATCATCTATCTACACCTCATCCTCACGGTCATCATCTATCTACACCTCATCCTCACGGTCATCATCTATCTACACCTCATCCTCACGGTCATCATCTATCTACACCTTATCTTTACGGTCATCATCTATCTACACCTCATCTTCACGGTCATCATCTATCTACACCTCATCTTCACGGTCATCATCTATCTACACCTCATCTTCACGGTCATCATCTATCTACACCTCATCTTCACGGTCATCATCTATCTACACCTCATCCTCACGGTCATCATCTATCTACACCTTATCTTTACGGTCATTATTGAGACAGATACTCTACCAGGACCTGCCCAACCAATATAGCATTGCCATTTCTTTCAAAGTCCGAGTGTATCTGCCTGAGGGGCAAGGAGCCAAAAGTCTGGACACAAATAAGCCAGATCTGTAAAATGGTTTTGCACGCAACAATCAAGTCCTGGAACGAGGCCAGAGTTCAGGAGTGGGCCAACAACGAAGACTTTCCGCCGAAGTTTGCAGCCGGGAATGCTATAAAGAAGAAGAAGAAGAAGAAAAAGAAGAAGAAGAAGAAGAAGAAAAAAAGAAGAAGAAGAAGAAGAAGAAGAAGAAGAAGAAGAAGAAGAAGAAGAAGAAGAAGAAGAAGAACGAACGAACGAATAAACAAACTATTTTTTTCAAAGGGTTACAAATTGGGCATGCAGGCCCGTCTGACATTCGGCCCTTCTAAGCACTCATTTTTCAGAGTACCAATGCAGTAGAGGATGGAGAAGAAGAAAGAGGAGGAGGAGGATTAGGAGGCAGCTGTAGTACTAGGTCCGTATTATCCTAACTAAACTGTACAATAATGTTAATGAAGAGATTATCACGTCTATCGTCTCATCAACTAATAACAGTGTAGCGCACATTCTTGTTGTTGGTCGACGCAAGAGCCATATCGTCACCATAATTTCTAGTTCAACTTACAATTTGAACCGAGAACCTGCGGACCAGGATTAGTCTTCAGCGATAAACGGAAATAAATATAACAGTGATTGTCTTTGAGTCACTATCATCATCATCAGGTGCCTTTCCGACTGGCGTGGGCGATCATGCCTCTCCATAATCTGCGATCTCCTGCAGCATGTATTAGTTTGGGTGCCGACACACCTAAATGCCATGCAACAAGACTGTCAAGCATCTTCTCTCGTTGTCTTCCTCTATCCCTTTTTCCACAGATCTTTCCAGTGGTCACAACATGTTGTATTTTTTCCTCTTCTCATAACTTGGCCGAAAAATGATGACTGTCTCCTTCTGATGTCTGTGATAAGTTGTCTTCAGGCTCCCGCCTCTTTCAAAATCTCTTGGTTGCTCTTTTTGGCTGTCCAAGGTATTCTAAGCTTTCTTCTGTAAAACCACATCTCTGAGGCCTCTAAAAATTGTTTGGCCTGCCTACCGATTGTCCAGGATTCACATCCATATGTTAAAACTGGATGTATGTAGCAAGCAAGAATTCTTTTTCTACCTCTCAATGACAAGGATATATTGCACAAGATGTTTTTCATTTTATAAAATGCAGTTTTTGCCTGTCCAATTATGTTTCTTTTTTCAATTATGCATCTTCCATCTGATGTTATCCATGTGCCCAGATACTTAAATTTATGTACTTGTCCTAAAATAACACCATTGACTTTTATTACACATTTAGGAATAATTTGTTTCTTTGATACCACCAGTACTTCTGTCTTCCCATTATTCAAACTGAGGCCCATTCTTCCACTTTCTAACACCACAATGTCTATTATTTCCTGTAATTCTTTCTGACTTGTTGCTATCAAGACTGTATCATCAGCATAACGTAAATTGTTTATATTGTGCCCACCAACCACAATTCCGGGCATATCAATTAAAGATCTCATTATATATTCACTGTAAATTGAAAACAAATCAGGTGACAGTACACATCCTTGTCGTACGCCCCTCTTTATGCTTTGAAATGTACCTAAACAGTTGTTTATTCTTATAGCTGCTGTTTACTGCCAATACATATTCTTTATTATTCGTAGATCTTTCCCATCAACGTTTAATTTTTCTAACAGTTTGATTACTTCTTCATGCTTCACACAGTCAAATGCTTTTGTATAGTCTAAGAAGCATAAGTACAAATCAGTCTTTACTTCTATAGCTCTTTCTGACAATGTCCTTAGGATGTAAATGGCATTGTTTGTACCTTTTCCTTCTACAAATCCACATTGTTCATCGCTGATTTCTGGTTTAATTTTGTTTCTCATTCTTCTCATAATTTTGTCTTTGAGTAAAGAAGAATTAATATGCTATCAGGCGCAAACAACACCAGTGTTGCCTTACAACAGTTTCAGATTTCCATCATGCTTTAACCAAATATATTTTAGACAATAACGACAAAATGTATCACAGTTATATGAAATGTATATTGCATCTTCGGATTTTCAAGACTAAAAACATTTTAGAGCTACGGCGCTTCTGAAGGCATGTGTTGTGGTCAGTGGAATGGCAAAAAAATTGTCTTCAGTAAGAGGCGCGGATTACTGAAAGCTAGAGAGATAAACAACACACTAAAACTGAAAATCGTCAAATTTTAAGTATACTCAATCTTGCTAAATGGTGCAAACATTTTGTCAATGAACAAACAACTGAAAAATTGAATTAAGTCTCTTGAAACGTGAGCATACAGAAGAATAAGTTATATTTCACCTAAACAAAGTCTATGAAACGTGGGTATACAGAAGAATAAGTCATATTTCATGGAAAAAAAGTCTATGAAACGTGGGCATACAAAAGAATAAGCCATATTTTATCTAAACAAAGTCTATGAAACGTAAGTATACAGAAGAATAAGTCATATTTCATCTAAACAGAGTCTATGAAACGTGAGTATACAGAAGAATAAGTCATATTTCATCTAAACAAAGTCTATGAAACGTGGGTATACAGAAGAATAAGTCATATTTCATGGAAACAAAGTCTATGAAACGTGGGTATACAGAAGAATAAGTCATATTTCATGGAAACAAAGTCTAATGCAGAGGTTCTAAAGGGACTAAAAATGAGAAGAGAGTTGCTGAAATAAATAAAAAAGAGACAGCTTGGATACTTTGGCTACATTAAAAGACATAACACGCTTTTGGAGACCATACTGAATAGAAAAAGCAGAGGACAGGAGAGCAAGAGGTGGACAACGATACACGTGGGAGGAAAATATCAAGAGATTGACTGGCAGCAATCTGAGAGAGTGTACAACTAGGGGACAAGACAGAGCGTGTTGGAGATCCATTGCAGCTAATCTTGACTGTGCAGACGGCGCCTGATTGATTGGTTGCGCCCCATACCACCTTCAGCTGCCAATGAAGAGCAGGTGAACAGGGCTTATGGTAATGTCCCGAATGCTGTGATTTCAGTGCATCTGCCTGCGAGACGAGGAACCAATAATCTGTACCCAAATGAATCAAATATGTGAAACAGGTGTACACGCAACACTCAAGTTCTGTAACAAGACAAAGTGGACGAACAACTAGGACTTTTCACCGACATTTATAGCCGTTGACGTAAAGAAGAAGAACTCAATTTAATAAAAGTACATTTTTTAGTAAAGTTCACATAAGTTCTTCTTGAGCAAACATGCATCATTACACAATGTAAACAATATTTGCATTGCCAGTTACAGCACACAGGAAACATTTACTTACTTGCTACTGGAGGTCCAACGAATGTTCCTAAACCATTAGACAGCATTAGATATCCAAGTCCATTGCCCAGGCTTTCGACACCCACTAGATCAGTAAGAACCACTATCAGAAGGCCTAGTATGACGCCGAATGCAAGGCCACTAATGATAAGCAATGCTATGTAAATAATAAACTGTTTGTACATAGGGAAAACAACCGTGGCGACGCCCATGGTTATGGTCGCCATCGTATATATTCCTTGCCGGTTCATTTTTTCTACATTTCCAATAGCCCCACCGAATATTCCGCCCACGAAACTAGCGAATCCAAAACACCCACTTAACCACGCAGCCTCCATAAGAGTGAGTCCTTTGTCTTGAAGAAATTCCGGGGCAAATGATTGAATAATAGCATAGCCAGCATTCCACATAATGTTGCTCAAAAAATAGATATCAAATTCGTAGTTAGTGAAAATGTAGAAATGTCTTGAAGAAAGCGGTATAATTGACACGATATCATCTTCTTTGACAGACAATGAACGCTGAAGATCACAGAGTTGCTGGAAAGTGTCGATTAAAATAACATGTGATCCTCTAGAACCGACCGCAAATAGTGAATGTGAGGACAGTGAGTTTTGATGCAAAACATCAAGAAAACTGATCCTCTGTTTTTCCTGCGAAATCTTATCGTTGACGTGTTTATGTCTCACTTGTAGATTTGGCTTTTTCTGTCGCAGCTTCACGTCATAGGTTTTCGCACCGTCTTCATCGAGCACGACAACACTGTGAGTTTGGGGACCGTCTGGGATATCTGGTTCTGGAGCCTCTTCATCCGCGTCTTGTATACTTATCATCATTGGACCATGAGACGTAATAAGACGCTCCGAAAAATTATCTATAGAATTTTTGTTAGTTCTCAAACTCAACTTGTCAATGAAGTCCAGCTCTTCTAAATTCACTCCAAAATTATCGTAATTGGCATCAAGTTCACAATTAGCATTGTTTGTAAAACTCTTTGGTCTGTCTTTAAGTCCAACTTTATTAATAATCGGGCTGTCATTTTCTGGATTTGAGGCGATTAATGTTGCTTTTTCATTTCGTGTTTTCTTTGGAGTTACGAGGCACTTTGTTTCATCCTGGTTTCCCACGATGATTTCTTTTGCCCTGTACTCACGCCGGTGTAGCTCTTGAAAAAAGTCACCAGACGGATATCGCAGCAAAGAAGCAAAAATAAACAAATGCAGGTTGAGACCAGCTACAAAGATGATAGATCCCTTCCAGCTGTAGACGTCGATGAGGAAGCCAACAAGCACTGGCATGATGGCAGCGCCGAGGCCAGAGCCACTGGTGGAGATGCCGGTGGCTATGCTGCGGTACTTGTTGTAGTACAGTCCGCTCAGGACGTGAGAGGGGATGTAAGTGCAGCAGTTTCCAAATCCTGGCAGAAATAGCAAGAATGTGTTAAATAACAGAAGTGTTACTTTTCGGCATTTAGCATTGCTTTTTTAAGACATCCAAAAAAAATAAAGGCAAACAATTACAGACAGCATATAGATTCAAAAATTGAGCTTACCAGTGCCAAACAAGGACACTTTATGAGGCAGGTGTACGCAAAATTAACCCTTGCGAGATGAGATGCCTGAGAAAAGCCGCCAACCTAACCAACCATATGAGATCGAGTGAATAATGAATCTTTAAGGCAGATTGCGAAAATGGCACCTTGTAATACATTCATCGATAAACAGCAAATGAAGTGGTCCAGACATTTTTTTAGAATGCAGTAACATCAAATAACGTCAAAGGTATTACAACTCAAACGATCAGATGCAAGAGCAATAGGACGACCTCTAAAAAACGTGGATCCACAACATTAAAGACACTTCACGCTTTCACAACACGACAACAGCCAGTGCCAGCCAGCGTGTACCGGATGGTAATGAATTCCTCCCCACTTCTCTGAACGGTGGAAGTGGTTTATGACGATGAGGAGGAGGAGGATAATGATGATAATGATGATGAACATCGCTGTCTTACTTCTAGCTGCTGACACTCTAGCATTCTTATTCTTCAATTCTTCTTCTTCTTCTTCTTCTTCTTCATCTTCATCTTCTTCTTCTTCAACTTCTTTTTCTACATCACAATCATCATCATCATCTTCTTCTTCTTTCTGTTTCCCTCCTCTTCCTCATCTCCCATATGCACAAACACACATACATCCTTGTGCCAACTCACCTGTGAGTACGCCAAAGAAGAGACACATTGTAGGAATGTATGGAAGAAATGGCATGCCCAGAAGTCCTACTGTTACAAGAACTGATCCACACAAGGCTATTTTCCTGTAGCAGAATTTTGTCATGAGAAAGCTCACAATTGGACCTGTGAGACAAAATGGTGATGTAAGCACTTTCGAATTGTCTGAACAAATAATGCACAATCCGGAATATACTGTGTGTCATATTTCACTGTTTCTTGTCAGATGCTTACTACATTTAAAAAAAATTGTATTTGCTGCTGCTGCTGCAACTACTACTTTCTTCGTCCAATTCCCCTTTTCGGGGAATGTTGTTCCCATATATTTAAACTCAGATGCAGAATTTAGTTACCTAACTAAAACACTGTTATTGATCTCTGTAGCTTTGTCTTCGCGCCCGGCCAGAAATAATTATCATGTAAATATCCTTTTACGCCAAGGGTCCTTCGGGCTCATGATGCTATACTATTTTAAATTCTGCTGAAAAACAACAGACCCGGCTGCTTCGAGATACCAGCTAAGTAATTTTGTGTATCCTGTAGTACTGTTTCATTTGTATGTGCTGATGAAGGCTCAATAGCCGCAACGTTCACGTTTTGTGTGTATTTGTTAAATTGTGAAGCTTGCTAATATACTTTTCGTTCGGTTTTATATCTTTTCTATACTATTTTAAAGACCCATTGATCCTCAGAAAATAATGTGGTCAGCATCAGGTCGTCCATCATTACCTCCCAGGACATTACAGAGTGTCAGTTGGGTCGAGTTGGAAGACAATGTTAGTTTCGAAAAAGGATTCGGGGGAGGGGGAGGGGGCCTGAATGTAGATTTGAGGAGCGTAAGAACCTCAGCTCGGCAGGAGAGCGTCTGGCTACTACGCTATTGCGGTTCCCTACAATTGGTATGGGACATAATACTTCTTTTCTTCTTCTTCTTCTTCTTCTTCTTCTTCTTCTTCTTCTTCTTCTTCTTCTTCTTCTTCTTCTTCTTCTTCTTCTTCTTCTTCTTCTTCTTCTTCTTCTTCTTCTTCTTCTTCTTCTTCTTCTTCTTCTTCTTCTTCTTCTTCTTCTTCTTCTTCTTCTTCTTCTTCTTCTTCTTCTTCTTCTTTCTTCTTCTTCTTCTTCTTCTTCTTTCTTCTTCTTCTTCTTCTTCTTCTTCTCTTCTTCTTCTTCTTCTTCTTCTTCTTCTTCTTCTTCTTCTTCTTCTTCTTCTTCTTCTTCTTCTTCTTCTTCTTCTTCTTCTTCTTCTTCTTCTTCTTCTTCTTCTTCTTCTTCTTCTTCTTCTTCTTCTTCTTCTTCTTCTTCTTCTTCTTCTTCTTCTTCTTTCTTCTTCTTCTTCTTCTTCTTCTTCTTCTTCTTCTTCTTCTTCTTCTTTCTTCTTCTTCTTCTTCTTCTTCTTCTTCTTCTTCTTCTTCTTCTTCTTCTTCTTCTTCTTCTTCTTCTTCTTCTCTTCTTCTTCTTCTTCTTCTTCTTCTTCTTCTTCTTCTTCTTCTCTTCTTCTTCTTCTTCTTCTTCTTCTTCTTCTTCTTCTTCTTCTTCTTCTTCTTCTTCTTCTTCTTCTTCTTCTTCTTCTTCTTCTTCTTTCTTCTTCTTCTTCTTCTTCTTCTTTTCTTTTCTTCTTCTTCTTCTTCTTTCTTCTTTTCTTCTTCTTCTTCTTCTTCTTCTTCTTCTTCTTCTTCTTCTTCTTCTTCTTCTTCTTCTTCTTCTTCTTCTTCTTCTTTCTTCTTCTTCTTCTTCTTCTTTCTTCTTCTTCTTCTTCTTCTTCTTCTTCTTCTTCTTCTTCTTCTTTCTTCTTCTCTCTTCTTCTTCTCTTCTTCTTCTTCTTCTTCTTCTTCTTCTTCTTCTTCTTCTTCTTCTTCTTCTTCTTCTCTTCTTCTTCTTCTTCTTCTTCTTCTTCTTCTTCTTCTTCTTCTTCTTTCTTCTTCTTCTCCTCCTCCTCCTTCTTCTTCTTTTTTTTTCTTCTTCTTTTCTCTACTCCTAGAATGCCTCGCAGCGTCAGGACAGGAAGAGATCAATGGAATGAGCCCTTCTGTCAGTACTTTTCAGTGTCTCTGATATGTCTGCGGTCCATTTTCTGCGTGGTCGGTCTCTGTTTCTCTTACATCTGCATCTGAAACACATTGCTCTCTGTGATGCCTTGTCTGATGCCAATCTTGTTACATGGAAAAAACATTTGATTTTTCTCTACCTATAAAGTTTAGAACTGGTTCTGTGCCGACTCACCAACTGTATACATTATGTTAAAATATCACAATTATCCTCCCCGCCTCTCCCCTCGATTCGAAAAAAAAAAAAAAAAAGTGAAAATTGGAAATCCGCGGGGAATCTGTTGTGCCGCTTGCCTGCGCTGTGAATCTTACGACTAGCGCAGCAATCCTCATGCAAACACGCGCTGTTCGACAATATATATATCTTATTATATGGCTATATGTTTTAAATTCGTTGCAATGAAGTCGATTCTCTTGTGTTTAGAATTATCTTGAGTTTCTAAATCCTTTAAAACTCGTATACCTAAAACTTTAAACAAGCTTGCTGTTTGCCTCTTTGATTTTTAAGTTAATTGGTTAAGACTGATTAGTTGGTTACCTGGCTATGGTAATTTATTTATATACATTTTTTTTTTTTTTTAATTAAGAATCGGCATTAAAGCACTCAGGAACCCCAATGAGCTCTCCGTCCCCATCTTCAGCACAAACTGAGAGTTCCAGTTGCGATGGCACCAGTAACTATATGATTATATTTCCGTCTCGTCCTTGCCTTGAGAGCTGAGCATCGGCCAGATTCCCTGGTTACTTCTCGCAGCGCCAATCTCCTCAGACCGTAATAATC